CCGCCCCGGTAGTCCGCGCTGGGAAAGCAAGGCGGGACTTCCGGCATTTGAAAAACTTCCGGCGGGAACCGGAAGATTCTGCGACAGAACTCCTGTCTACTGACTCGCCACGCCGGAAGGTGAGCTTTGTGTCTGCCCTGGCGGCAATGCTTCGGTCTCGCCCGAATCTGCGTTCGCGCTCCGGTTTTTTGGGGGCCACTTAACGTTATGAGTGCTCGTTTGGGAGAGAACAATTTTTTTAAAACGAAGTTTCGCTATATTGTATCATCAGCGCTCTGTCTGACAATCTACACCTGGAAAATCTCACAGCGCGTCCTGTAATTGCAGCAGCTGTTAGCGCATGGCAGGTGTGAGCGAGAAAGCCAGGGCGAACTTTTGTTTTTGTTTGTTTTTTAACCCCATCGAGTCGGAGGTGAGGGAGGAAGCACCGTCTCAGAATCACTTGCATCTTCAGAAGTGTCTGGGCGCAAAGGAGGCGCTCCAACAGTTGAGGACAGGGATGAATGAGAACTCTAGGCAACTTTCCTCTATCTTCCCACATGGCAGCTTGTCTTTAATGTATGTGCAGCGAGAAAGGAGAATGGTACTTGTGGCTCCGAGTTCTAGGACTGTTGTGCCCAATACCTTTAAACCCCCTCATCTCATTGAGTCTCAACATTCTCATTCATAATGCAGCAGGGTTTTCTCATCGCCAGGGTGAGCTGAATGCAACTCTCCCGCATACAGGTTTTTTGGTTTTTGAACGAGGCTGACCTTGAACTCCACAGAGATCCGCCTGCCTCTGCCTCACAAGTGCTGGGATTAAAGGGGCGTGCCACCATTGCCTGGCATTTTTTTTTTTTTAAATCACTTGAGGATCTCTGCTAACATTTGAAGCACTTTTTGTTCCCTCAGGGAAACATTTAGATGCCTCTTGAGTGAGTTCTGTCTTCTAGAAGTTTAAATGGTGTTTCCCCTTTTAAATAGTGTGTGTGGTCTAACTATTTTCACTTTCTCCAGTTTATAGTACCTTCTCAGAGATAATCACACCAACCTTTAATTTGGAATGTGCCCATCCCCGCAGAGGTAAAATAATCCAAGAAGAGGGAATATTCCCAACTGTAAAAGAATAGGAGCTTTCTTATGTGCCATCACCTCTTCCAAGCAGTGGTGAATATTATGTGTGGCACTGCCTAAGAGTGATAGAAAATGCATTTATTTTTCTTTCCACAGACAATATTTGTACACGTATTTATTCAGTGAATACTTATGGGTCAGCACTATTAAATTCTTGGCTCTTGGGTACTGAAGTAAAGCAAGCATTTCCCTTTTCCCTGAATTTACTGAGTTGAGATCAGACAAAAAACAGAATTTATTATACTTTTAGCCTGTTTTATTTACTACTGCATACAGAATAGAAGGGAGAAAACGGTATAAAAACCCATTTTAGGTAAAAGGATGCTGAGATCTAAGGGGTGAGAAGTAGCCAGATGTTTGTTATGAATAGGATTAGAGTACCTCAGGTAGAACGGACCTGATGTGGGAAAGACTTGTGCCTGGTACGGGGACTGTACCAAGGTGACTAGAAGCAAGCAGATAGATGAAGGGGTAAATATGGTGAGGAATGGAATGTGTCAGTCCTGGAGAACGTCTCAGTTTTGATTCTGTGAAGCACAAGATGGAAAGTCACAGAGTGTTTTCAGAGCATTGCAGGAATGATCTCAGGGAGAGTGGGTGGTTGGGGCAAGAGTGGAAGAGCTCGAGGGCAGCTGAGAGGATACCACATCGGTCTGAGCTAGAGACTGCTATGGTTTGTACCCTTGTCATCTCCAGATTCATAGATGGGGGGGAGGGGTAGAACCTTTGCAAGGTGATTTGGATTAGGCCATAAGGGCAAGGCCCCATGATGACACTAGGATAAAAGGCAGTCAGAGAAAGCTCAGCCAAAAGTTTCTTTTCTTTAGCCATGTGATGCCTTCTGTTTTGGGATGATGAAGGCCTGTTTCCCAGTGTCTGGAGTTGTGAGAAGGAATTTTGTCTTAATTAATTACCCAGTCTCTTCCTCTGCTATAGTAATAGAAGACAGACAGAGACTAGGGAATCGCTGGTGATGCCAATGAAATAAGATATATTTTGGAGGAAGAATTCATGTGATTTACTAATAGACTGAGTATTGGAGATGGAGAAACAAAGGGTTCTCAGCTCTTTGGTGGGGGATATGGGTATATTCATTATCTTGATTGTGAAAATATGTGTACATATATCAAAATTTTAGCGGATTTGAACATGTTAAGCATGAACAGGGTATTTTGTGTTAGCTTCCTCTGAGAAGCTGTTAAAAAATGTCTCTAAGTCAGGTAGTGGTGGCACAGCCTTTAATCCCAGCACCTGGGAGACAGAGGCAGGCGGATCTCTGTGAGTTCGAGACCAGCCTGGTCTATAAGAGCTAGTTCCAGGATAGCCTCTAAAGCTACAGAGAAACTTTGTCTTGAAAATACAAAAAAAAAAAAAAAAAGTCTTCAAAATTTTAGCTAACAACTGGATAGATGCTGACATTGGGAACAGGGGTAGGAACAGGTTTTAGAAGAGGAATGCTATCAATAGTTCCTTTATGTATGTGTTAAGTTTGGGAAACTATGAGCCCTCCAAATAGTCTCAGAGGCAGTTGGTTGTGTAAATCTGAATTATTTATATGTGTTCATGCTGTACGTATGCACATGCATGTTCGTACATACATGTGCGGGTGCATGTGCTTGAGGCAGCCAGAGGTCAGAGTAGGAGGTCTTCATTTGATCACCTTATTGCTTGAGGAGAGGTCTCTCACTGAAGCTGGAACTCACTCATTTCGATAGGTTGATTGGCCAGCAAGCCCCCATGATCTTTGGGATCAAGGAATTAGGATTTCTTAACCAGTCGGTGCTATTGGTACAGTCTTGTACTGATTCCTGATGCTTGGGATGGAGATCAACAGAACATAAACAACTACAGAAAGTGCTCAGATGACAGAATTACATGATGTGTTTCTCAGGATGTATCCCTGTTATGTGACGCTTTATCGGCACTTCAAACATGTCAATCATTGAGATTTGGTTATCCCAACAGGTTTATAGATGTGGGAGGAGTGGAGGTGAAAAAACAGGTCTTTAAAGTGTAGTATACAAATTTCTGAGAGGATACTTGCATGCAAGTAGTAATACTTTGTAGTTTTTTTTTTTCTGTTTATACTTTCTAAAATAGATCTGCCTGAAATTGCCTGTGTTCATATATATTTTTCTTTCTTATCTGTCTTTCCTGCTTGTAAATAAATGCTTGTGTCTTATCTAATTTTCCATGTTTCATTGGCTCTAGGATTCTTATTAAAAAGGCGGTTTAAAGTATGTTTTTAGGGAAAACTTTAAAGGCCCATAGTTAATCTGAATATTAACTTCGATGGTTAAACTTGGTTCCCAGTTTTACAGACCTGGGAAGAAGGAACCCCTGTTGAGTAATCACCTCCATCTAATTGCCCTATGGGCATGTCTGTGGAAGAGAGGCAGCCCACTGTGGGCAATGCCATCCCTAAGCAGATGGGCTTGGCTTAGGGAAGGTATTGGAATAAAAGCCTGGGAGCAAGCCAGTAAGCATTGTTTCTCTGTGGTTTCAGCCTCCAGCTCCTGTCTTGAGTTTTTGCCTTGGCTTCCCTTGATGGACTGACGATAACCTTTAAGAGGAAATAAATCCTTTCCATACCAAGTTTCTTTTGGTAATGGTGTTTATCACAGCGATAGACAACAAACTAGGACATTGACCTACCAAAGATTTGTCTTTCCCATTTTAAATACCTCCCTGTTAAGGCTGAAGTATAGCAACAGACTTGGCATATAATTATCTGTGTTTTGAATTAAGGTGTAATAGTTCTCCTATTCAAGACATCCCCCCCACCACCACCGCCCGCCCTGGAAGTCTAAAAAGTTTAATAGTACGAAACCCCACATATATGCCACGTTTCTTCACATACATACATACATACATACATACATACATACATACATACCTGTAGTAAAGCTTAATTTTATATATGAGGTGCATTAAGAGATTAACAACTTCTAATAAGACAAAATAGTTATAACTAGATTGTAGTAAAAGTTAGCTTGCTATTCATGTTTTGGGGCCACAATTAATTAAATAGATTACTTGAACTCAAACACTGTGATTTGGAGAGACTTGAAGTGACTGCTAAGTCACTGATATGTAGAGATATTAGTGTAGTGTGTACAGAATGACTGCTGGGCAGAGGACTAATAGTTGCTTTAAAATAGTGTGCAGTCGAAACCTATTGATTGTTTGGAATTCTCTGTTTAATGTTTATGGACTTCATTTGACTGAGATAACTCAAAGTGTACACAGACATTATTTTAGATGGAGCTTGTCTGATTATTACTGTGTTGTAGATTGGGTTGCTCAGAGTGGTTGTAATGGAAGTGGAACATGGGAGGGTTGCTTGATGGAGAGCCTGGCACCTTTAGATCATTTTCCCATTGTTTTCATTTTGAGGCAGGGTCCCATGAAGCACAGGTTGATCTTGACCTCCGATCTTCTTGCCTCCGCTTCCCAGCACCTTTAGATTTTTATGCAGGAACCAGATTCTCCAGGGAATCGTCTTCCCATTGTCTTTCATGGAGAACAAGGATCTAACTGGTGGCTTTTTGGGTTTTTGTTTTTGTTTTTTTGTTTGTTTTTGAGACAGGGTCTCTTGTATTCCAGGCACACTTTGAACTCACTGTGTAGCCGAGAACAACTTTAAGCTCCCAGTCCCTCTACGTCCACCTTCCAAGAGCTGTCCTGCCATGTCTGGTTTATAAGGTACTAGGGATCAAACCTAGGACTTAATGCATGCCAGGCAAGCATTCTCCCAACTGACCTATATCCCATCCCTGCCCCTCATTGGTGACTTTTGGAGATTTAGCATTCAATTTGAATGGTTTGTTGCATTAATTGTC